GAGTCTGCTTCTCCCTCTGACCCTCTCATGCTCTATCTCATTCTCTGTCTCAAATAAATAAATAAAATCTTTAAAAATAATAAAATAAAATAAAATTCTCATGGATTTTACATTCTACTCTATCACATACCCGTTTACATATGAAGAACGTTTTCTCGCAACGACTCTGGTCTTTATCCTTTGGCTTCAAATGCCTCCCGGCACACCAGAGGCTGTGTGTGAGCCTCACTGGCCCCCATTAACTTTTCCCAAGCTTGGCCTCCCTGGCGACCCCTCTAGACATGTGCACTGTAGCCACTCCCTTGAGCCCAGTGACAGGGCTGGAACCTGAGTCAGAAGAGGCGCTTAGTTGGGGAGGTGGTGAACAGGAGGGGTGGCCGAGGGTCCCTCCTGCATCCTCACTAGGCCCTGACCTTGGCTCCGGGGAAGCTCCTGCCGGGGGAGGCCTTCTGTGGTCACCCTCCGCCCACCCTAGGGCTGGCAGCCGTTTCTCACCTGCTGGTGATGGCTGTGTCGGAGGCGGGGGCAGCGCCATGGGGGCTGCCCGCGGACTGCTGCTGGGCCGCGGCGGGCGTGGGCATGCGGATGCTGATGGGGCGGGGAATCCGGCTCCGGGTGGCGGCGGCCCTCCCGGCCTTCCTGGGGGCAGCGGGCTCCGAGGCAGGCGTGTCCTCCTCGGAGCCCGTGCCCGAGAGCGTCTCCGAGGCCCGGCGCTGCTCCTCACTGGAGGAGGACGAGGCCCCAGAGGCCAGCCGCAACAGCAGGCGGCCCTGCCTCTTCTCCATCACCAGCCTCGCCAGGTCCTGCTGTGGCCGGGCCCTCTTGCCCCACCGCTCTCTGGCGGACAGGGAGCCGGAGGGCTCCGAGCCCGTGTCCTCCTCAGACAGCAGGACAGGGATCCGGCTCCTGGGGCGGGGGCCTGCCATGGCATGGCGGCTGGGGGAGATGGTGGCCAGTTTCTCGGGGCCTGGCTCCAGCGGGGACGCTGGGGCCGGCCCGTTGGCAAGGGCTGGGCCATTGGGCAGTGAGTCTGTGGCCACCTCCAAGGGGGTGTCCCCGGGGGGGCCAGTCGGAGCACAGCTCTCCAGCCCTGCCTGGGCGATGCCATTCTCCAGGGGCACAGAGGCCCCCTCCTCCACAGCCCTCCCATCAGAGGGTGCCTCCAGGCCCAGCTCACCCCCAGGGCCCAGCTCCTCAGGCCGGGAAGCTTGTCCACCGGAAGACATGACATTGAGGTGGGTTTTCTCCGCAATGTGCACAAAGGTCCTCTCAACTTTGGTGAAGGGTGAGGAGGTGACTGCCACTCCTCCTGCCCCTGCGGTCACTGCCCCGGCCCCTGGCCCTGTCCCGGGTCCAGGGGGCTTGGGCTCAGACTTGAGGACAGAGGACAGGGTGCCCGGCTCAGACACGTCCAGCTGGCTGCCGGTGGGCTGGGGCCGCTCTTGCTGAGGAGTGAGGGCAGCCAGAGTGCCCAGGTCAGGGTCGGGGGCCAGGTCGGCAGTGACGGGCGACTTCTTCATGTCGCCAGGGGAGACGAGCACCAGCGTTTTGGAGCCCTCCTCAGGCTCCAGGTCCCCGTCGGCCATGGAGGCCCGGCCCCTGGACTCCTTCTGGTCGTCAGCCAGCAGCGTGGATGGGGCACCCTCCTGACTCCGGTCCGTGCTCCTTTCACTCCCATCACTGCTGCAGCCGCTGCGAGGCCCCAGCACCTCCCCTAGAGCCACTGCCTCCTCCCCCTCCTCCCC